CTCCCAAAAAGCGCCAGCCGGCAGTCTGTGGCAGCAGCACCACTACCCGAGAGCTGCCGTGATGGATACATTCAGCTCTTTGGAGCCTACGCGCCCTTTTGGCTCCTTGAGCCGTGCCTGCACTCACAAAAGGCGCCTTGACAGCAACCATACATACAACTCTCCCACATGAGCTTCCCAGCTGAATCAATGAGCTCTATGTCCACATTGAGCCCAGCCGAACCACAGCCTCACTGAGCCTCACGCCACATAATATGAGCACGCCCCAGAGGGGATTGTAGCAGGTTCGGTCTCAGGGATTCGCATTCTTAACACGATCCCTGCACACTGCTCATTCGCACTGGCAAATCACCCTGTTCCAAGACGCAAATTCTGAGCACCAATCCGTAACACTAGCCCTTACTTAACGCTCATGCATGACAAAATTCCGTAACACGCACTCCTGACAACAATCCCCAATACGAATACGCAACACTAATCCACGCACACATCCTGAACACTCAAGCTTCGCAAGCGTCCTCAGCACTATCTCATTGCCCTGGCATGCAAGCCCTTTTTCCAGGCCTTTTTGGGCCCTCTGGGGTCGCCACGGACACCCCCGCAGAGAAACTCCAGGTTCCCAAAAGAGTGGGGCGGTGGCGTCTGCCTCCTCAGGATCGCTCAATTCAATAATAAAGAGGCCCAGGGACACACAAATAAATACACACAAATAAAAGAATGCCCCATATGTTCCCATATTTTCTGGGTTCTTGTCTTCCCCCCCTTCCCATATTTTCCCATATTTCCTGGGAATCGACGATTAATTGTGTCTGTGTGTTTTTCCCCTCCTGAAATAAAAAGTCCAGGGTCAGGAAGCCGGTGGAAATCCCTTCGTGGTTCGACCATGGATGTCACTGCCACCCTCATCCGAGAAGGAACCCTCAAGGGTCGGCAGCCTCCCGGGCACAGTCTTTGCGAACGCCCACACCGCATTGGGGTCTCCCCTTGGCCACGCGCGCATTCGAATACGAGAAGCCACCATCTACACTTGTGGATGCCATGACAGTGGACACTCTGACAACCCGATCATTGAGTTGAAGATTTGTACATGTTTGAAAATGTTATATACACATGTCTGACACATGAGGTTCAAGACATGTTTGACTTATGTGTTGACACCAGGAAGCGATTTGGCGGCATGCTTCCTCTCCGTGGATCGACTTTCACAATCCTCCTCCTCCTCCTCCTCCCCCTCCTCCTCCTCCCCCTCCTCCTCCTCCTCCTCCTCCTCCTCCTCGACCTCTACGGCCCAGCAGTCCATACACTGTGCCACAGCCGGCACGGATGGAGAGCGGCCCCCCTCCTCCCTCGAGCCCCGGCGCCCGCGCGAGACCTCCGCGACGCACACACTCCAGATTTCGTAATAAAAGGGAGGGGGTCTCAACCCTCCCAGACGAGAAGTTTTAGACCCCCCCCCGTGGGAGAACCCTCCAAAACATCGTCCCCAGACCCCCCCAGGCCCTCCAAGATAGCCTGGAAGAGACCCCCCCCGAAATGAGACCCCCCTCCCTCTATTACGAAATCTGGAGTACACAACCAAAACGTGGACGCCCTGCAGCGCTTAGACTTCGGTCGGGCATGTGCCCCTGCAGGCGGATCTTGGACGGACAAAACAAGAGTCAACCAAATATTCAGAAATGGCCTACACATAATCGGCAAATCGTCCCCAGACTATTTTTGGGCTATGCTTGAATGTTCCTCCTGTAGAGGGACGTGCCCGGCTTCAGCTTAGACGGATGGAGGGCATGCTCTTCTCAAGATAGAGCCTCCTAGATGGGGTCGAAGTCGATGGGGTCGGAGGGTCGCGCCGCATCGCCGATACATCGACGACGCATCGGCGATGCATCGGCGATGCACCGGCGATGCATCGCCAACGTCGGCCACGCATCGGCGACGTCGGCGTGAAGCAAATCGGGCACCACATCAAGCCGCATCGGCGATGCATCGGCGATGCGGCACTATCCTCCGACCCCGTCTACCCCACCCCCCTATATATGGACAAACCAAGGCTAACCTGGGACCTTCCTGAAGCGTTTTCGCGTGGGCCTTCCGCGAAGCATACGCCCACGATGCCACGCCCCCAATGCTATGCCCCGATAAATATCCCCCCCAACTGCCGCCGTTGCCTGTCCTCGTATGTCGGGGGGAGCTTCCGGGGGGGGTCCAGCACAGGGATCGAGCTGGAACAAGAGGTACGTTACCGATACAGTAGGAACTCGACCACGAGAAACCGTCCACAAGACACCCAACCCTGAGTCCCCAGGACGTCCATTGATTTCTGGTGAGGGGACGTCACGCTTCTCATGGCGAAAGCATCGAAACCCAAGAAACCCAGGGCACCCTGGAGGCAAGCAGGGTGTTTCTTCGCATGGCGTGCCACTGCACATGGGCGACAGGCCTCGTGCACCGGGGGCGCCCCCAAGGAGGGGGCCGTCCAAGAAGGGGGGGGGGGGGGGGGGGGCAAATCAATGGCCGGCGGCACGTGTGCGGCACAGGGGGGGAGCGGAGGGGGGGGGCGGGGGACGCATGAAATGCGAGGAGGCGCCGTGGAACCTGGGGAGATCACCGGCCATCGCTCGGACGTCCATTCCCCGTGTTCTTTCTTCCGGTCTTGTGCGTGGCTTCCTCGCCAGAGGATCCAGGATGCTCCTCAGTGGCCCTCGCAGAAAGAAGAATGCACACGTCCGAGCGATGCCAAGATCATGGCCGCCGCCACGATTCCTCCTCCGCCTCCGCCTCCTCTGCCTCCGCCTCCTCCTCCTCCGCCTCCTCCTCCTCCTCCTCCTCCGCCTCCTCCTCCGCCTCCTCCTCCTCCTCAACTCCTCCTCCTCCTCCTCCTCCTCCTCCTCCCTCCTCTCCTCCTCCTCCTCCTCCTCCCCCTCCTCCTCCTCCTCCTCCTCCTCCTCCCTCCTCCTCCCGGCCGCTCCCCCGGCCGCAGCGCGCCGCGGGCGCTCCAAGGGCGGGGGCGGGGCCCTCTCGGGCCCGCGCTCGCCGGCAGGGGGGCGCGGCTGGGAGGCGGTGCTGCCCCCCCCGCGGGGCCAACTGGCTGCCCTGATGGGCGTGTTTTCCACCACCACCACCATAAGTGGAGGGGAGGGGTCCTCCTCTCCTCCTCCTCCTCCTCCTCCTCCTCCCTCCTCCCCCTCCTCCTCCTCGTCCTCCTCCTTCTCCTCACCCCCCTTCCCCCCTCCAACTTATGGTGGTGGTGGTGGAAAACAGGCCCATCATGCCCGCTCCCTGTTGGGCGGTGCGCGCACGAGGCTAGGAGGCAACTACTGGTTTGGACGCCCGAAATGGGTACGGAAAGAATGGGCACTATGCCCAACCACAATTGTTGTCCCAAGCCAACAGCGGCCGCTGTTGGGCAGGCGGCCTTCTGTCTCGAGTGGACACAGGCCGCGGCGGCGTGGACAGCGAATCCTGTTCAAAATGAACAGGAATTGTTGTTGGGCATTGTACCCATTCTTTCAGTACCCATTTCGGGCGTCCAAAACTGGGAGGTGTTCGTCGGAAAGATTATAATAAGGGGGAAACGAGCCTACCTCGGTGTTGACCACCCTCGCTTCCAAGAGATACCAAGCGATGTCAAACTACGGCCTGTACTGGTCAGGCCGCTTGCCAGAGGAGGCGCGTGGTATGACTTGGTTTTGCCTGGAAGCGAAAGCGGGGTAGGTAATTCACGCTCTGAATTAAGGAGGGTTCAGCCCCATTTGAGAGCTGTTGCGCCGGAGTGGGCCTCGGACTGAGCAGGATTAAGCCGGATTAAGCGGGGTGAAAGCAGAATTTGACCTCCCAGGAGTTGCATCCGAGCACGACGGGGTGGAGGGAGGGGGGAGGGCCTCTTAGAAGGAGGCTGCTTCTTAGAAGGCGCCGGCCTCACGTCTGTAGAGAGGGCCCGCGCCTCGTAAGAAGCAGGGGCGCTGCTGAAAAGCCCTCCCCACTGCCCCATCACCCTAAAACAAGGCTAGGATCAGGATAAATCGCTCCAGAGCGTTCCGGAGCGCTCCCAGAGCGTTCCGGAACGCTCTGGAGCGGCCGCGGCGCCCAATACATCCTCCAAACCCGCCGATTCTCTGAGATTTCGAGTTATCCCGATCCGATTTTGTCCCGATCTTCGCGTCGTTTTACACCCCCCCCTCTGCGCGTGGCCTTCCGGCCACAGCTCGGGCCTCCCATGGCCGTTCCAGAGGGCCCCAGCCCTCTGGGAACGCTCTCGACGAAACGCAGCCACTGGAAGCCACCCCAGGTCTCGACAACGGCCGAAACCTTCCGAAAGCGCCCGAAGGTCGTCGTCGTCGTCGTCAACGTCGTGGTCGTCCTCCTCCTCCTCCTCCTCCTTCTCGTCGCCCTCGTCGTCGTCGTCGTCGTCATCGTCGTCCTCGTCCTCGTCCTGGTCATCCTCCTCGTCCTCGTCCTCGGCCGTCGTCGTCGTCATCGTCATCGTCGTCGTCGGCCGACGTCGGCCGTCGTCAGCCGTCGTCGGCCGTCGTCCATCGTCGTCGTCGCCATCGTCGTCGTCCTCGTCCTCGTCCTCTTCCTCGTCGTCCTCGTCCTCGTCCTCGTCCTCGTCCAAGGCTGTCGTCGTCGTCGGCCGTCGTCGGCCGTCGTCCGTCGGCCGTCGTCGCCATCGTCGTCGTCCTCGTCCTCGTCCTCGTCGTCCTCGTCCAAGGCTGTCGTCGTCCTCGTCGTTGGCCGTCGTCGGCCGTCGTCCGTCGGCCGTCGTCGGCCGCCGTCCGTCGTCCGTCGTCAATCGTCGTCGCCGTCCGTCGTCGTCGCCGCCGCCGTCGTCGTCGTCTGCTCGTCGTCGCCCACATCCTCCTCGTCGTCCTCGCCGTCGTCGTCATCTTCGCCGTCGACGTCGTCGTCGTCGTCGGCCGTCGTCGTCGTCGTCGCCGCCGCCGCGGCCGTCGGCCGTCGGCGGCCGCCGGTCGTCGGTCGCCGCCGCGGCGGCAGCGGCCCGCCTGTGGCCGGGCGAGCCGGCCCCGCGCTGGGGGCAGTGGCCCACGGGCTCCAGCCGCGGGTGCCTGGGGCCCCGGGGGCGGGGGCGGGCCCGAGGACGAGGAGAGGAAGGAGGAGAAGGGCGAGGGGGGGAAGAGGAGAGGAAGGAGGAGGAACAAGCCAGAGGAGGAGAGGAAGAGGAGAGGAAGCGAGAGAAGGAGAGGAAGAGGAGGACGAGAAGAGAAGGAGAAGAAGCCAGAGGGAGGGGGCTGAGCGCGGGGAGCAGAACGACGAGGGCGAGGTCGAGGAGACGCACCACGGGCGCGAGATCGAGGACGAGGGGAGGACGAGGAGGCAAACGACGGGGGCGGCGGGACGAAGGGCGACGAGCGCGACGGGCGAAGAGGACGAGATCTTGGACGAGGAGAGGACGAGATGGAGATCGAGGACGAGATCAAGGACGAGGACGAGATCGAGAAGAACGACGATAAGGAGATTGAGGACGAGGAGACGAAGGACGATCACGACGACAATGACAAGGACGACGAGGGCGGGCTGGCAGGGATGAGGACGACCACCATGGTGCACCTCCTCTCGTTTTGAAGAAATCACGACGAGAGATGCTTCCCCATTTTCTGCCTCAGAGGGCCCTCGCTGGGCCCAAGGACTGTCAAAACACGGCTCGGGATGAAGATCAGGTCCCAGGGACGGGGTCCAGACCTCTGGGGATCCACGCTCAGAGAAAAAAAAAAAAAAAAAAACCACGTTGGACGTCGGAGTCTGAGGAAGGAGCAGGACGACGAGGACGAGGACGAGGAGGAGGACGAGGCCGAGGACGACGACAAGGACGACAAGGGTGGCAAGGACGGGGGGGAATGACGATGGGTGGAGCTCCAAGTGGGGCACGAGCCGAGTGGGGGCTGCGGCCGAAGTGGGCACGGTGGCGTCGCGGGAGCTCCTCCACTGGGAGGACGAACGGCTGCGACAACGGCGACGCACAACGGCGACGGCTGCGACAGCAGCGACGAACAGCAGCGGCGACGGTGGCGACGGCGACGGCGGCCACGGCGGCGCCTCGGCTGCTGCCTCCTGCAGGGCTGCGTCGCTGGCGTGGACACGCGGCTGGAGCTCCGGCTGGTGCACCTGCACCCCAGACCTCCGGCGGCTCCACTTTCCTCTACGGGTGGGCCCTTGGAGGTCTGGACCACCACTTCCCTAGAGGACCGGCGTTTCGCCCCGAGCCGTTTTGTGACGGCGCCAGAGCCCGGCGAGGGCCCCCGGAGGCCGAAAGCGGCCAAAAGCCGCCCGCTTCACGATATGCCTTGGAGCGTCGGATCGCTGGGCCCGACCACGGCCCTCGGCGGCGGATGGCGGCAGCGACCACGACCGCGACCACGCCAGGTCGACCACGGCCACGGCCACGGCCGCGGCCACGGCCGCTCCCGCCCCTCCGGAGGGTGGACGCGCCTCCTCCTCCCCCTCCTCCTCCTCCTCCCTCCTCCTCCTCCTCCTCCTGCCTCCTCCTCCTCCTCCTCCTCCTCTCCTCTCCCCTCCTCCTCCTCCTCCTCCTCCTCCTCCTCCTCCTCCTCCTCCTCCTCCTCCTCCTCCTCCGCCGCCACGGTCCGCCGCCTGCCCCGCTGGCGTCCAACCTCCGAGGGCGTCAGCGCGCAGCGCGGGCGCAGGCCGACGGGGGCGTGAAAGCAGGGCAGTGCTGGAAACTTGTGCGCCGAAAGTGGCTACACCCTGCGAAATGCTTTAGAAATCATGGGTTAAGAAATTCATAGTCTCAGAATTTGAACTCAAACCCAGAATGTCGATTCAAATGTTAAGATTTACACTGAATCATTAAGAACAATCGAGACTCTGGCCGAAAACTTGGGTTTTCTTAAGCATCGCCTGGAGTGTACGGCAGGTTCGTGCGGCGTCAGTGCGCGCAAAGGTTTTTTTTGCACCGCGCCGATCGCTCAACCCTGAACCGATCGCGGCCCCGATCGTTCAAGGCCGGATTCCGTCGGGCACGATGGCATTACCGTGTCCATCGGTGCTTCCACGTCGCAAAGTTCAACCTTGAGCGCCTTCGCCAACGTCGCTGGCGCGCCAACGCCGCGCGAACCTACCGTACCGACAAGACCACACCAACCGAACCCGAAGACCTGAACTTCGGTTGGAAGGGTAGAGGTTCCACATGTGTGTGTGGGTGGTTCAATGTTCCCCAGCGCCCCCCCAAGTGGAGATGGGTGGCAAGTTGGGACATTCGGGCTGTGTTGGGGTGGCTTGGTGGGTGGTGGGAAGAGGGGGGCCAGGCACACGGGGGGGGGCCTTCGTGGCCGAGGCACATACGCGGACGAGGCGCGGTAACGTGATGACACAAAAACGAGATCACGGAACATGTTAGCCAGCGTGGGCCCGCTGCCGTGCGGTTCTAGCAGGAGTTGGTGTGCCACAGGTGCAGGGCAATGCAACATCTGTGGTGCAAGGCATGCTGTGCCACCTGTATGGGGCTATCTACGTTGCACAAACTACGCGGTGTAATGTATGGTGTGCAATGCCCTCTGTCGAATTTGAAAGTGTCAGCTCCACTGTTCGCGCAATCGCCCCACCCGCCAAACCGCAAGCTGGTTCGTAAAACCCCTGCGGCGGCGACTGCCATGACTGCGCGGCGCTGACTGGCGCATCGCTGCGGCCGAGCTAGCGCGCGCGGGCTCGCGCTCAGAACGGCCAGCCAGTCTGGCGCGACCGACGCGGCCGCGGTGGCGCTGATCGCCGTGTGCGCCCCAACGCGTCTCGCAAGCCGCGCTGACGCGCGGGCACTTCAGTGCGAGTCGGTGACTCGGGTGGGAGCGGCATCATGGCGACGTCAACGACGGCAGACACGACGATGGAAGTAGCGATGCTGGTGACGACAGTGACGACGGCGACGGCAAGGCAAACAAAGGCGCACATGCTCATCACGCCCATGACGATCATGGTGTCCTCGCGTTCGTGATGAAAATTTGGGATGGATTTCGACATGCGCGTCCGGCCGACGCGCGCGAGTGGCCCGCATGGTCTTGCTTGACTGGTGTCGTGATGCTCCCAGCACGCGCGCAAAGGCGTGCGAATGATTTCGACGTGCGCGCGCGAGAAGTCCGTGTGCTCGCATGTGGCGAACGTCTTGAAACAACCGATAGTGTGCTTGAGAGCTTGCGAGAGCGCAGGCGCTGACTCTCTTGCGAGACCTCGATGTGCAAGACCATGTGTTCGTATGTGCTTGCGGTGCACCCGTGCTCGAAGGATTTCGGCATGAGCGTGTGACGACGCGCGCGCCCGCGCACTGCGATCCCTTGGTGTGTCAGGGGCTTTTGACAACTGATGATTTTTGACGAGTGAGTGTGCGCGCATAGCGTCTTTTGCAAAGGATGGTGGGGGGGGGGTACACCCAATTGGGCTGGGATGGTACGAACTCATATTTTGAATTAACGATGGGGCCGAATCATGCCAACTGCACACCCATAGGGGGCGATAATCCCGGGCTCGGGGGGTGGTGGATCCTATTTCGTTGTTCGATGAGAGAATATACGTGGTGCAGTAAATGTGGAGCAACATATGTGGTGCAATATGCAAACTGCAATCTACGTTGTGCAATGTATGGTGTTCAGTGTATGTTGTGCGATCGATTGTGTTTAATCTATGGTGTGCAATATATGTGGTGAAATCTACGTTGTGCAATTGTGCAATCTATGTGATGCAAGCTATGCTGCCAGACCACCAAGCAGGCCAAGACGACGGGCGGCGACAAGGCGGCGACTGGGCGGCAAATGCGGCAACATAGCCGCCAGACTGCCATCCAGGCCCAGACGACAGGGGAGGCGACGAGGGGACGGCGGCAACACAGCCGCCAGACCGCCACCAAGGCCCAGCTAGCTCCTTACAACAGAAGAACGAACCATTGCAACAGACGGGAGGATTTTGTGGACCTGGCCGTTTGGTGCCCCGACAGAGGTTGGGTGACAGAAAAAGCTGGACGACCCCTGCAAGCGGAAAACATCAGCCTCAAGCTGGGATTGCGTACTGACCATGCCCGGAGCCCCAGAAGGTCCCGGCCCGCTCCCCCGAGTTGCTTGATTCGTTGTGGGCCCGTTCTCGACAGCCTGGGGCCCGACAACGGCCGGAATCCAGGAAAACCGCCAAGATTGAAAACGAACCGACAAAAACGTCGGAGGTCCAGGTTCCGACTTAGGTCGGGCATGTCCTCCTACAGGCACATCTCGGACGGAGAATAAAGCGTGCACAAAAGTGCCCCGCCCCACAACAAGAAACTGAAGAATCGTCCCCTGCACGGTTGATGGACTCGTTTTGAAAATTCCTCCTGTAGAGGGACACGCCCGACCCACGTTTCGACCCCGTCTGCGTGCCCTCGGGCCACAAGGCCGCGCCTGTCGGAGCAGGCGGCGCCGCCGGGCGACGCCCCCCGGCGCGCCCCCTGCGACGGCTCCCGCGCGGCGCCGCCGGGCCGCCTCGGCGCACACGCGGCGAGCGGTGGCGGCGGCGGCCGCGGCG